TGTGGCCTTGGCCAAGACATCACCCCTCTGGGGCCCGTTTCTCCTCTGTAAAATGGGCAGTCATCCCTCCACTCAGGGCTGGGTGGGGTCATGGGAGGTCTTGGGGTGCCTCAGGTCCTCCTGGCCCCATGACCCCTCAGTGGGTGGCTCTGCCTCACTCCACCGTCCTCTCCTCTCCCTTGCCAGGCTCCTGGGCGTGGACAAGGTGCTGGGCTATGCTCTCAATGAGTGGCTGCAGGACATCCGCAAGAACCAGCTGCCTGGTCTGCTGGGCGGCGTGGGCCCCATGCACTCAGTTGTCCAGCTCTGTGAGTGTCTGGCTTTGGGGGCTCTTGAAACTGCCTATAACTTGGGGCAGCCTAGAAACCACCATTGGGAATAGGTGGAGGAGGTCCTAAAGCCAGGTAAATGGGGGCAGTGCAGCCTTGGGCATCTCTGACAACCCCATCCCCCCAGTCCAAGGGTTCCGGGACCTGCTGTGGCTGCCCATTGAGCAGTACAGGAAGGATGGGCGCCTCATGCGGGGGCTGCAGCGGGGGGCGGCCTCCTTCGGCTCGTCCACGGCCTCCGCTGCCCTGGAACTCAGCAACCGCCTGGTGCAGGCTATCCAGGTGAGTGGCCCGGCGTCCAGAGGTGCAGGGCAGGGAGGGTCTGCTCCACGGCGCCCTGTTCCATCCCCAAAGCTCTCCTGAGGGGGCAATTATGGGGGACAGTCACGGAGAGGAGAGGCCAAATGACTGGCCTGGTGCCTTCTGGAACCTGCAAGCACAGCCCTGTGGGGACCTGGCAGGGTCTCTAGAGAGGAGGCTGGAGGGATAAGCGGCACCTGAGGCCCCCCACCCAGGGCACTAAGCTGGGGTGTGGCGCAGCCGGGTGAGGAGGCTGGGTGCAAAGGAGTGAGGTTGAGTGCGAGACGTGGGGGCAGAGAACAGAGCAGCCGGCAGACAGAAGGCAGGTCGGCCTCGGTGAGGGGCTCACTGATAATCCGTGGGGTGAGCGCGGGGGACCCCAGGTCTCTGCTGGGGCTGCTCCCAGAGCTGGCAGGGCGGGGAGGGGCAGGACTGCGGAGGCCGTGCACTCAGGGAAGCCGCATTTGTGACACCCCACAGACTGGGCGGGGGGGACACAGACATGGTGGTCAGCAGGAGGAGGGTTTGGGTCCAGAAGACATTAGCAGAGTCCCCTCAGGAGGCATGCCGTCCACGTGAAGGCCCCTGACCCCAGGAGCACCACCATAGGGGGGACAGGGATGGGGTCTTCCCGGGCTGGCCGGGGGTCCAGCATGGTCCTTGGAGGCTGGCTCAGGGCTTAGGGGCTGCCTGGGCCAGCTCTCCTCATCTGGTGCCCTCTGTGTCCCCCCAGGCCACAGCAGAGACGGTGTATGACATCCTGTCCCCGGCAGTGCCCGTCTCCCGCTCCCTGCAGGACAAGCGCTCTGGGCGAAGGCTGCGAAGGGGCCAGCAGCCGGCGGACCTGCGGGAGGGCGTGGCCAAGGCCTACGACACGGTTCGAGAGGTGAGGCCTGCCCTGCTCCCAGTTGTCCCACACCGCCCCCCGACCCAGACCCCTGCACTGACCTCCAACCCCTACAGGGCATCCTGGACACAGCTCAGACCATCTGTGATGTGGCATCTCGGGGACACGAGCAGAAGGGGCTGACGGGCGCTGTGGGGGGCGTGATCCGCCAGCTGCCGCCCACGGTGGTGAAGCCATTCATCCTAGCCACCGAGGCCACGTCCAGCCTGCTCGGGGGGATGCGCAACCAGATCCTGCCCGACGCACACAGAGACCACGCTCTCAAGTGGCGCTCCGACGAGGCCCAGGACTGAACGCCAGGCACCCGGGACTCAAGGGTGCTGCCCCGCTCATGGAGCCGGGCAGGCCAGGCCCTCAGGGGAAGGACCGGGAAGGACCCTGCCCGGCCCGCTGCTGCCAATCGCTGTGAGAGTGGGGCCTCCCTGCCTGGGGCCTCGGGCCTGTCTGCACTTTTCCTCTGGGGAGAAAGGACACTGCCCCCGACCTGGGCCCACACTGCTGCCCTGTCCCAGGACGGAGGCTTCAGACCCTCGGACACAACCCCGCTCAGCCAGTGTCTTTCTGTGCCTGGGGGGTGGTCGGGGGACAGACACCGTGTGGTTCAATGTATTATTTTTAAGCTCCTTGAGCGTGTGGCTCAGTGTCTGCATGAAGTGGAATAAACTGTGCCACCGCCAGTCCCCTGGTCCTGCGTACCTGCCCCGCCCTGGCCTCCATCTCCGTACCCACCACCTCCCATGTCACCACCTGGGGTCACCATCCCCTCCCTGCCCGCCCAGCAGGTTAACCCCAGCCCCCCACCTCTGACCTCGCAGCCAGCCGCCCACCCCAGCACTCCTTCCCTCGGCCGCCCTGCCTCTCGGTGCTGGGCTCCTCCTCGCCACTCCCAGGGTGCCGCTGTCCTGGCCCCACTTCTGACGTAGGGGAGCTGAGTGAGTCAGGAGAGGAATGGCCCTGGGAGTCCGCCTCGCCCAGACCGCATTTCTTGGCTCTCTCCCTGCAGGAGCCCAGGGTCCAGCCTCACCTGGGGTGGGGTGTGAGGGCACAGCTAGGGGGACGCTGGACCGGAGCAAAGGGCTGGGCTCTGGGGTGCCCCAGGGAGGCCCAGACGCTGCCCGTGTGACCGGAGGCTACGCCCTTGGTCTCTGAGCCCCAGGCCCTCCTGTCATCCCTCTGTGCTGGCCCCAAGAGGCTGCTCCTGCCATCCCCAGCCGGCTTTCCAGGTGATGGGGGTCTCCACCCTGGGGTCCGGGCACTGTGGCCGGAAGGGGTCCTGGGGCGTGAGCTCAGGAGTGTTCGTGGGATGGGAAATGCCCATTGTCTGCCCCCCCCCCAACCTTGTTTCTTGAGGACAAGCAAGAAGGGGCTGCTCCCATCATGCCCCACCCCCCAGGAGCGCTGCACTGAGGCGGGTGGGGAAACAGAGGCTCGGGTTAAGAGACAGATGTGGAGAACCCTCACCTTGCTGGGTCATCTGCAGACCCCTCAGGGCTTAGCAAAGGTCCCCCAGCTCCCCTTTCTGTCCTGGTGTCCCCTCTGAGGGAGACCTGGGCATTAATGAGCCGGTCACAAGTTGGTCCCGGTGGACCCCAGGGTCCTCGCTGCCCGCAGTCACTTGGGGTGGAGGGAGAGCAAGGGAGGGGTGGGGCCCCGAAGGGTCTGCACCACGGGGAGAGGCGAGGGGGCCTGGCCACTGCTTCCTGGATGGTGCCCTGCCCGCCTGGGCACAGTCCAGAGACTCCATCATGCCCTTTGAACCCCACCGCAATGGGTACTGACAGGCGGCGGGACAATCATTAACCGCCACCAGGGGCTGGGCCAACGGCTCAAAAGGCGCTGGGCCCAGGGTGTCCCCACTTCCTCCTTGTGCCCTGAGGGCCAGCCAGGCGCCCAGGTAAGAGTCGGCCCGGGGTCAGGCCCCTGCTGTCAGGACCCAGCCCACCTTCTGCAGGGTCCCCAGCCTCCGAGGAAGAAAGGACGGGACCCAGACCACCGCTGGGTGACCCGGGCAAGTCCCTCCCAGCCCTGGGCCTCAATTTCCACCTGTGGGATGAAGGGGCCAGGCCTCCTGATTGGGTGGCAGCATTGCCGTTGCCGCTGCCTCCGCCAGGCCAGCGCTCAGTCTGGCCTGGGCGCCTTCAGGACGGGCTGCTGGGCTTTGGGGGCGGGGGTGTCACCAGCTATGGTTCTTCATTCACAGGCCTGTCCTCCCATGAGAGGACTCCTGCCGGGGGACCCCAGCCCTCCTTGACTGCGTCCCAAGAGGGAGGGTACCATTTCAGGGAGGCTGCCAGGCAGGATGGACCTCAAGGCCCTGCTCTGTGACCTTGGGCAGCCTCCTTTGCCTCTCTGGGCCGGTTTCCACTGCTGGGAAAAAGGAGCATGGCCCAAGTCCACTCTGAAAGCTCAGAGTTCCAGCTCCCCTTCCTCTCTAGAAGCTTTGGGGTCTCCGAAATGTCCCCCAGGCCGCAGCAGGACTGGCATTGGAGCCTGTCACTGAAGCCTCTGGGGGCAGAGTCTGCCGGGGGGATGAGAACACACTTTGTGGGAGAGGGTCTGCTCCCCGGGGGCCTGGGCCAGCTCAGGGACCCCAGCCAGCAGCTCCTTCCTCTCCCCGCATTGGAGACAGACCCAAAGGTTGGAGGGTGGCTTCCCACCAGTCCAGGCCAGAGTGCAGGACGGCCTCACAAGCCCGGATTTGCACATGAGGGACCAGCAGCCGCTCAGAGAGGTTCAGCCACCTGCTCAAGGTCGCCCAGCTCCCAGGCGCCTGCTGACTCTCAAGCCGCCAAGGTGCTGAGTGTCCTTCCAGACGGATGGTTGCTGACAGCATCTTTTCAGTTCCCTGTTCTCCCCCCACATCTGCTCTTCTCTGCTCCTATTTGCTGTTCCTGTCCAGTTCCCTGCTGCCCCCCTCATGTTTCTCTTTGGGCCTCTGCCTCACTCTCCCACTGTCCCTGTCTCCCCTCCGCCCCCCACCCTGGTCTCATCTCCAGCTTCTCACGCGTGGCCCGCACTCAGGAACCTGGGAACTCGGAGGTCCCTGGAGACCAAGAGACGCCCAGCCATCGCTCGCTGTCCCTCTGCCCCGTGGCTGCGGCAGGAAGGGTGGGCAAAGGTCAGAGGGCGAGGCCACAGCGGCCAGACCTGGAACTGGGGCCCGGCTCTCGTTGGGAAAGAAATGAGGAAACAAGGAACTGGGGGACCGAGGGTGTGGGGGTGTCAGAGGGGCAAAGGCTGCCCAGAGGCTGTAAACGGGAGCCACTCCCGGCTTTACGAGCGGAGCTGGGCTTGAGACTGGACTTCGCCCAGAGGAGTGCTGGCTTCAGACTCCGGTGTGAGCCCCGGATGATAAGGAGCCTCAATAAAACGAGGACGCAGGGGGCCCAGGTGGGTGGGCAAGGGGTCCTCCCTGGACCTCTCCCAAGGGGAGATGCCAGGAGGGCAGGGCCCAGGCCTCCAGTGGGCTCCCACCCCCTGTAACAGCAACTCCATGTGGAAGTGCCCACTGGTTCCAGTGGGGCTGCTGTTATCTGGGGCGGGGGCCAGGGTCTACGCAGGAGGAGAGGCCGCCGCCGCCCAGCAGACCGGCAGGGGCCTCTGAGGCCGTGCTCGCAGGCCCAGGGTGGCGCAGGGTGGCGAGGTGTCAGCAGGCTGCAGAGACCGAGTGCACAGGGCTCTGACCTATGAATTGACAGCCAGTGCTCTTGTCTCCCTCTGGCTGCCAATTCCATAGGTCACAGGTATGTTCGCCTCAATGCCAGCCACCAGGACCTGCGGGGAAGGGGCGGGGCCGGGGGGCAATGAAGACTTGCTACCCCAGTGCAGCACCCAAGGCCTGCCCCCCTGCTGTCTCATTTCCCCTCTTGGGAGCCTGAACTGCTTTAGGTCCCCACATATACTGACTGTGCCATAGCATGCCTCTGTGCTTTGCCCATTCTGTTCCCTCTGCCTGGAACACCCTTCCCAGCTTTTTTGCCAGTCTCGCTTCCTAACCGTTCCAAGCTCTGCCCAAGCATTTGCTACCTCCAGGAGGCCTTCTTGAAACCCACTTGAAGCTAAGTGCCCACCCGGGCACCCCCACCACCCTGTGCTTCACCTGAGCACCGTACGCATGCGATGTTTCCGTCCTCCCCGCCACCTGTGGGCCCCAGTCTGTGCTGGAGCACCCCCTCCCCGGGACAGGACCCTGAGCCTGCCCCCTCCTCTGCCCCATCTCTCTCCTCCTTCCTGCCAGTCTCGTCTGCCTGCAGCACAGCCGCGACCCCCAGGCTCCCTGTGCAGTTGTGGCTGCTGTTGGGGCAGGCAGCCGAGTGGACAGGCCCCCACCCCTGCCCCAGCTTCCCACGACAGCCTCACTCCCGCCTGGTTTTTATGCAAAGGGGTTCCGGGGAAATTTTCATATGAATAAAAGTGTTCAGGGGCTGGCGCAGTGGCGCAGCGGTTAAGTGCCCACATTCTGCTTTGGCGGCCCGGGGTTCGCCAGTTCGGATCCCGGGTGCGGACATGGCACCGCTTGGCAAGCCACGCTGTGGCAGGCGTCCCACATATAAAGCAGAGGAAGATGGGTGGAACTGATTCTTGAGCCCTTTCTGCGTGCTGGGCACTCGCATACCTCATTCACCTAGAATCATCTTGGCAACCTGGCAAGGCAACTGTGGCAAACCTGTTTGGGAGATGAGGACACAGGCTCAGAGAGGGTGAGCATCTTGCTAAAGTCACAAAGCAGGTCGGACCTTGCAGCTGACAAGGTCCAGACTACTGCTTGGGTCCCTGCGACACTGTCACTCGCCCCTTCCCACATGTGGCTTTGCTCACACTGCCCTGTCAGCTCTGGATCCCTGGGCATCCCTTCCTGTGCTGAGGCCCACCTCAGACACCCCTGCCATGACTCCGCAGGGTCTGTTCCCCCTCCTACACGCGCAGTGGACCACTCCCACCGCCCCTTATCTCAATCCCTGCAGGGCTGAGAGCTCGGGGCGCTTATCTTATCCTCCTGCTGGTCCCAGCCTCCTTGAGGACAAAGTCCACGACTCATTCACCCTCCGGGGGAAGTGATCCCCCGGGTTCCTCCTCCACCTGCCTGCAGAGTCAGACGGCTCTCAGAGCCCGTGTCCCCACTCATGGGCAAGGCAGACCCAGCTCCCCCTGACCCACTCCTTGAGATCCGTAACCTCTGGCCTTTTCCCGGTGGCCCCTGGGCCTTTGCACATCTTGCCTCATCTAGATCCGGCTCTTACTCCCTCTCGAGACCTCCAGGCCGCCTGCCTGCCCCCCAACATACACACACACTGGGGTTGCCTTCACCCCCCGCCCCCCACTCAAGGGCTCCCATGATGCTCTGTGGCCTCTCTCAGAGCCCCCATCACACCCCATCACCATTACCTGGCCATTCCTCCGAGCCTGGAACCCCTGGGAGCAGGGGCCATTGACTTTTTGTTTCCTGTAGCCTCAGAGGCTGGCACAGAGGAGGTGCTTAATAAATGCATGCTGGACCTCCACTGAAGAGAATCAATTTGTACTCTTTTCAGGTTCTCCTTTGACATAAATTTCTATACATTTTGCCACAGGACTATCAACGTGCTTGAATTACAGAGTCTGGCTCAGGCCTGGCTGGGGTGTTGAATAATTTGCGGGAATGTCCCCTATTTCCTCTCATTTGGAGAGAGGGGCACGGACCACAGTAGGGGGCCTTTCCATCTCACATTCCAGAATATGTTCTTTAGGCAACAGAGTCCTGGAAAGTCTAAGTAGGAGGGTACCCAGATGACACTGAAGGGGGCAGGCTTGAAGACGGACAGTGGGAGAGAATCCCATGAGGGGCCAGAGTTTATGTGAAATATGGCAAGGTTGTTGAGAAGAGGCAAGACAAGAGAAATTGTGGGGGGTTAGAGGAGGAGAAAGCCGGCTAGTGGGATGCAATGACAGGTTCAAAGATGAGCAGACGATGAGGTCCCATATCTGTTTCTTGGCTGCACAGACCGATGAAGAAGCCCTGAAAACAGGAGGACCAACTATAATGGAGTCAGGAAAGTCATATTGTAATTCACGTTGTTAGGAGGTATTATGTCGAGATCTCCCCACAATTCACATAGTACTTTCGCAGTTTTCTCAACACCATTTATCCAGTAATGCTACCTGTTTATAATGACCTGGGAGACTCTGCAGCCACTCCAGGTATTTCAAAGAGAGGGGCGCATTAAAGGACATTGGGCACCAGTGTGTTGTTAGGCTGCAGGGGCCAAGAGAGGAAGGTGACGTTAGAAAACGAACGAATGAATGAATGAATGCACCTCCGAAGGACCGACCACATGCGAGATTGAAGATCTCGGGAGAAGAGGGGCATCAGAGGCCTGGAGCCGTCAGCACAGGGCCCGCAGGCAGGAGGCCTTCAGTAAACGCCGGCCATCGTCCTCATCACCGTCACTACACACACGTGAAACGACGCTGCTGACAAGGCGTCTTGGGAGCGTGTGCACACGAGCTCCAACCGCGCCCGGCGGCCGAGGGGGAAGGAGCGGTCAGGGTTGGGCGGGCTTGATCAGAAAGGCTCCCCGAGAGGGGTGAGTTTGAGCCCAGTTTTGGCTGGGGTGAAGCCCAGGAAGAGCGGTCTTGAACGCTGGAGGAGGAAGGAATGACGGGGACAAAGGTGCAGAAAGGGGAAGGAGGCGTGGGGCGGCGGGCGAGCCTGCGCTTCCGCAAGCCTTACTCCCCGCGGCCACCAGCAGGGGGCGCGCCGGGCCGCATCTCGCCAGAGCTGGGCGGGGCCAGTCCCCCCCCCCCATCCCGTCGCATCCCGCCCCCTCCCACCCTGCGCCTCCCCGGCCCGTCCCCCAGCAGCCCCCCAGGCCCCTCCAGGCTTGTCCCGCTGCTGTCAGCGCTCTGCTCAAAGTGGCAGGTCCCTGGCGCTCGCCGTGCACCTCCCGCAAAGTGGGGTTCCTGCTGAGACCCTTACAGCTGTTACATGTGTATAAAACGTAAAAATACAGTGTCTATTTGTGTCATTATAAAATGAGTCCCTGTGTAACTACCATTCAAGTGAAGAAAACATCTCCGCGCTCCAGGGCCCCCCTCCCCAGATGTGTCCTCCCAGGTGACCCTCCCCAGGTAAGCACAGCGCTGACCTTGATGGCAGCGACTTCCTTGCCTTTCTCTGCGGTTCTCCACCCATGTGCGCAGCCCCAAACATTGTGTGTTCATTTTGCCCAGGTTTGTAGTTACATCAGTGGAACCCGTGGCCCTATCCGGCCGGGTCCACGTGGTTGCTGGAGCCACCGTTTATGCTCGTTCATTCGGGGTTCCATTGTGTGAATGGAATATGGTTGATTGATCCATTTTACTATAATAGACTTTGGTGCTGCTGGGTCAGGAGGCAGCAAATAGATTATCGGACCAGGCCACAGGGTGCCTGAAGGAGGGGTACCTTGTCACAGGCCTCTTTCTTTTGCCTTTTGACAGTTATGAAACCTTCAGAACAGTTGCAAGAAAAGTACGGTGAACACACATATACCCTTCCCTCAGATTCACCAACACAGCCGTGAACATTTAGCTACATTTGCTCTCTCACTCTCTCACATACACACACACATAGATCTTTTTCTGAACCCTTTGGGAGTAAGTTGCATAGGTCATGACCCTTCACCCTTATATATTTCAACATGTATCTCCTAAGCAAAATGACATCTCTTACGCAACCACAATACAGTTGACAAATTTAGGCATGTGACAGTGATGCAATATGGCCATGGGTCGCTTAACGACGGGACACGTTCCGAGAAATGCGGGTTTGTCGCTGTGCGAACACCATAGAGAGCGCTTACACAAACCTAGACGGTGCGGCCGAATTCACACCTGGGCTGGATGGTACCAATCTGGCTGGACCACCATCATAGACATGGTCTGTGGTTGAACAAAACGTCGTTACGCAGCGTGTGACTGCACTAGGCGCTAATACGCGTCCACTTTCGAATATCTCTTGTCCCAATAAACTGGGACGCGCCTCACACCTGGTTGCCAGGTCTCTCATCTTCTTCAGTCTGGACTATCTTCACCCTTTCTTCGTTTTTCAAGACCTTGACATCCGTGGGGAGTACAGGCCAGTTCTTTTGTAGAATGTCCCTCAGCTTTTTTTTTCCCCCTTTCCCCCCAGTTAAGAAAATCAAATATGTCCATTATATAAAATTTGGACAATACAGAAAAGTAAACAAAATTGCCGCAGCAACTCTGACGCAAGGCTAGCCCTGCTGACACTTCCTGTAAACACTTGAGGAAGTGGCCGTGCCGTTCTGGGCGCTCCAGGCGCGAACATTGAATCCGGCGAGGTAGATGCTTTCCTTTGCCCCATTTCACAGCTGCTTCCGGGGGCCTTGAGTCTTGCTAAAGATCACAGCCGGTAGGACTTCAACCTGACCGCACACTTGACCCTTATGCTACACTGCCTCTGGAGAGTGGCTGGTAATGTGTGTGTGTGTGTGTGTGTGTGTGTGTGTCAGGGTGTCTCAACCTCCGCCCTAATGACATTTGGGGCTGGATAATTCTTTTATTTATTTTTATTTATTTATTTATTTATATTTTGAGGAAGATTAGCCCTCAGCTAACATCCGCTGCCAATCTTCCTCTTTTTGCTGAGGAAGACTGGCCCTGAGCTCACATCTATGCCCATCTTCCTCTACTTTATACGTGGGACGCCTACCACAGCACGGCATGCCAAGCGGTGCCATGTACGAACCTGGGATCTGAACCGGCAAACCCCGGGCCGCTGAAGTGGAACATGTGCACTTAACCGCTGCGCCACCGGGCCGGCCCCAACATTTGAGGCCGGATAATTCTTGATTGTGGGGGGCTGTCCTATGCCTTGTAGGATGGCCAACAGCATCCCTGAGCTCCACCCACTAGATGCCAGAGCACTCCCCCAAATTGTGACCACCAAGAATGCCTCCAGACATTGCCAAATGTCCCCTGGGGAGGAAAAACTCCAGCTGAGAACCCTGTGTGTGTGTGTGTGTGTGTGTGAAGTCCGGTCACATTGTATTCAGCTTTGAAATCTGCTTTCCCAGTATTGGTACTCCATGATCACTTTAGCTTCCTTTCATTTTCTTCTTGTCTCTTGCTGAATGGCTGCCAGACAGCACCAATCAAATAAATCATTGATTGACAAAAAGACAAATCCATCGCTGTACTGGTCTTCCATTGCCGTGCAACAAATTACCACTAACTTAGTGGCTTAAAAAACAACCACTTTTTGGCTCAGGTTCTGCAGGTCCGAAGTCCAGAGTCTCGAATGCTGAAGTCAGGTGCTGGCCAGGCTGAGCCCTCATCTGGGGCTCTGGGAGGAAACTGCTTTCACGCTCAGCCTCGTTGTTGGTTGGCAGAATTGAGGTCCTTGCAGCTATAGGACTGAGGTCCCCATTTCCTTACTGGTTGTCAGCTGGGAACCGGCCTCAGCTCCTGGAGGTCATGCACGTTCCTTTCCACGTGGCCCCTCCATCTTCAAGCCAACAGTGGCACATTGAATCCTGGTGATCTGAGTGTCTGCCTTCCTTCCTCTCCCACCAGCCAGAGAAACTCTCTGCTTTTTTTTTTTTTTTTTAAAGATTGGCACCTGAGCTAACAACTGTTGCCAATCTTTTTTTTTTTTTTTTTTTGGTCTGCTTTATCTCCCCAAACCCCCCCCATACATAGTTGCATATCTTAGCTGCAGATCCATCCAGTTGTGGGATGTGGGACATCGCCTGAACGTGGCCTGACGAGTGGTGCCGTGTCCGCGCCCAGGGTCCGAACCCTGGGCTGTCGCAGCAGAGCGCACGAA